CAGTCGACCTTGCCCACCCAGAAGTGCCACCTGCAAGACCACTATGGCCCCTTCCCCCTCGTGGAGGGTGAACGGATGCAAGTGCTGAATGGGAATGGGGGAAAGCCCCGAAGTTTCACTCTGCCTCGGGACAGCGGCTTCAACCACTGCTGCCAGAGCCTTTCAGTCGGTGCTGCCGATCACCACGAAGAAGCGCAGCAGAAGGAAGTGGAGGAGGAGGAGGAAGAGGAAGGCAAAGCAGCAGAAGAAAACCAGGAAGATAAAAGTAAGTATGGGATGTTTCTGTGGCTTTTCAAGAGTCCTGTTCGTGTAACATAGAGGTTGTTTTTCCTTTTTTCTATCAAAAAACTCCAACAGTCTTTCAACATCCCCCATGTTTTACCAGGTCTCCCTTGTCGCACACCTCTTCTATCTGCCTTATGTGTAAGGCTTAATAATCAGAGTGCTGTATGACCTCTCATGATCACCAGACACTTCCCCATAGGTTGGTCACCAATCACCTCCTACTAGTAGTTCTTAGTTATAAATCGATTTTGCTTCCATGCTTTCTTCACACTTCCACTTGCACAGTATCCTCCCCCACTGACACATGTATGTCTCAGGACATACTTAGTAAGATTTCCAGCCAACTCCATCTGGGTTGTAAAAAACACTCAGTAAATCCCAGAGTGCAGGGTCAGGCTGTGATTGTGTAGTATCCAGGCGGGCAGGTCACAAGAGAGCCCAAAAGCTGTAAGAAGTTGAAAAAGAGTGGTTTTTCTCCAGTTCCTCACCTTGTGATTTATAGGGAGAGAAGTTCAAAAAACATTTCAAACAAACAAAAAAATTAATAGAGAACAACTATGTGACCAGCGGGGCTTAAAAAAAATCATAACGCTGAGTAACTGTCTCTTACATGGCACATTAACTCCATAGATATTAGTGCTACTTGTCAAAAATAATCCAAATAAGCAGGGATTGGAGAAGGTCCCTGCTCCTCCTGAATGTGTAAACACATTTCTGTGTCTGTTTCATGCTCTGTCCTTCACTGTCATTTATGGAGCTTCACAGCATGTGTTGCTAGCAAAGTTGAGTTCACACCCAAGTTGCAGGATCAGTCTACTAAGCCTGCATCCATGAATCGTGGGGTTATGCTGCGATTAAATTACCGGTAGCGGCAAGGAAGGCAGGATGACCCCTGAAGCTCTCAAAGTGTCTGGGCTATCTGGTTCCTTCAAATTCAACTTTTTCACTGCAGTAAAGGAGTATAAAAATGGTAAAGAGATAGGAAAGGGTAATGAAAGCTTTGCATAATTAACTATCTACCTAAGTTAATTCATTAAGGTTAGCACCTTTGTTGAGCATTAAAATTCATGTGGACTTTATTTAGTCTACTTGGGAGAGATCAACAGTTTTCCATTGCCCTTATGCTTTAGTCAATAGGTTCTAAATATTTCAAATTCTTGCCTTTGAGAAAACAGTGATTTCTTTTGAAGATACTAAATTTGATGCCATTAAAAGTTAAAAAAGGCACGATTTCAGTTGTGTTCATGCATGACACTTTCCAAAAAACCCATACATTTATTAGGGTAATATTAGACTCTTACTGACTGTGAAATGAAGCTGTCTAATTAACAGGGTTAAATTTCATCAACCATGCAGAATGCTTTATCCTATTTTTAGCCTTCATTTTTGGTTTTCAGATGGGTTTTTACTGCTAGCAATAAAAAAATGTTTTTTAAAAAATTCCTCACAGTCAACGAAAAGGGTCAAGGAGACTTCCCACTGGAGTTCCTGTGCTGTTGGGCATTACTCAGAGATACTGTTGCAGGGCCTAAGTTGTTAGGTGTTTTAAATCTCAATTTGAAGGCTTTTGGGTTCCTGGTTGTAACAATTTATAGCGTACAATACTAATAAAGGGCTAGTGCTTGATATAACAGGCCAGAACTTGACCTGTTCTCCATCTTTCTATACTAATGTCCAAAAAGGGAGAAAACAGTTTAATTTTTGACGTCGTCTCCCTGTATACACATACTTTTATTTTAGTTTGGGTGAGGAGGTTTCTTGGTCGAAGCTTTAACAGGAGATTGTTTTTGAGACATTAGCAACCAGCTAGACCAGTAAAGTGCTCATGGTGAATTATTGACCGTGAAATTATAAAACCAGAAAGAAAATACTGTTTAGTCTGTTGAAGAGTTTAAGTGTTGAATTGCTTGTTGCTATGGCTGCAATGTTCTGTTTGCAATGCTGGCTTTTTCCAGTGCCCTTACCAGTAAAAGGCAGGAGGGATTTCATGCAAGTGCTGTTCTTAAGTGCAGAATCCCAGTTTCTGAGCTGAGAGATTTGCTTATAACTGCTAAGTCTGCTAACAGGATGGGTGCCCTTGTGCATGCTACATCATTGCCCCCCTCACCTCCATTGCTCTGGGAAAATGAAACATTGCAACTAGCTGGAGAAAGGGAATCCTCTCCCTTTTAGAAATGTTTTAACCTCACCTTGAACCTTCCCTGATGTGGTATCAGATGAACCTTTTAAATGTATTTATTTGCCTTACGCATTTGTGATCCTGACACAGTTCTGAGCTCTTGGATGATTATATGTGTTCTTGTGTGTACATGTATGTGTTTTAAAGCTTAATCATTCCTATTGCTTTTTGTGCGGGACAAGGAATGCAGCTGCTTTGCAGTTGTTGCTGTACAAGTTAAATGTCATTGCCAAAAGTTTGTTTTCTCAGCTTTTTGTTTTTACATTCCCACTTTTAAAACCTCCTGAGTTTAAATCAAATAGTAAAATGCGGTCCTGTTTCTTCCAATTTCTTTTGCAGAATTATTTTCAAATAACCACACCACAAATTAGGCACTCCATGCTTTTTTCAGATGCTGTCCTCAACTGCTAGAAGTTAACATAGTTCAGTTGACTTTCTACTAAAGCTACACTGATTTGCAACAACTAAGAATCTGCTCTCTGTTAATCATTACTTGATGCCTTAAATAGATATTGCAAGCTTTTACTGACACTGCAAATAGTTCTGTGTATCAGCTCTGCTGTAATGCCTAGATATATCATGGTAAACTGAAAATATGGGTTGTTCTTTCCTGTGTTTATCCATTAGGATCTAAATTTGTTGTGTGTTCAGTTGCTTCTTTTTGTCTTGTTATATCACATTAACATTGCACTGATAATTTTTAATGGATTGTTTTTTTTCCCTAATTAAAATGACTTTTGTGTAAATCATTTAGATGTTCCATATTGACACCGTCCTGTAATGGTCTCTTGCTTTGTAATTGAAGAGGATTCTCTTGTGGGATATTTGTGTTTGTCCGTGTGTTTGCTCCTGAGGCTATGAAAATGGCAAACAACATTCAGACCTGTGGCACCGAACATCCCTCTTGCTGTGTTGTTCAGAGGCAGCCTGCACACGGAGAGCAGGTCAATGGCTATGGCACGGTGCGTTGCGTTTCTCTGATTCAGTTGTGAAGGACAGGTTGGGCCTTTTCAGGCTTGTCTTCTGCTAGTGGGAGGTCAGAGAAGGAAACAGCTGTGCAACATGGCACTGTCACCCCCTTCCCCTCCGGCCCCTCCGCTGTCTGCGCTCTCTGTGTTTCTACAGATTTCACCACTTAATGCCAAGGAACACTTCTAGGATCTTCTTGGGAGACTATTTCCAGGTTTTGTCCAGGGAAAGCTTGCTTCATTTTTTGCTTTATTTTTTGAAAGTTTTTTTGATGGTGGTTCCTTCATTTTCAAAGTCGTCTTTGGTTTGTGGGAAAGTAACAGCAATGACTAAGGGTTCACCATTTAAGAAAAGCCGATACTAGCTCTCCACAGAGTGTAACTGGCTGTAGATCCCACCGACTCGGCTGCAGAAAAACCTGCACCTTTTTTCCATACTCCCTGAAAAAGTCTTTGGAGAGCAGTAGCATCCGTGGGAGTCTCTGGTGCTGTCACCTGCCCAGACAGTGCTGGGGCAGGAGCTCTGCTGCTGGCTCCACGTGCTGCGGGGCTGGCCAGAGCAGTATCGGCACACCTTCCAGGGAACTCACACCTGGGACCTGCAACAGTGTGCAAGGGAGCTTTCCACTGTGCAGGCTCCGTAAGATTTCTTCAGGAATATGGATAGAAAAGCATTGATGTCTATGTTTGAGTTTGAAAAGGTATTTGGAGCAGGAAGAAATCACTTAGACTGTCTTCCCACTGTTCAACCCCATTTCCTTCTGCATCATTCCTCACCTCTTCATTCTCTTGCTTCTGCAAGTTTTCTGTCCTTTTCCTGCACACTAAGTACTGTAATTTCTGCTGTTTTAGAATTTTTCTGTTGCTACTCCATCATCATAATTTTGGAGTATCTTCTATATAGGGTGGACAATGAGGACAAAGTCTTAAATAGATTTCAATAAATCAATAGCTGTCCTTTTGGGGCAATTGAAGGGTGGGGGCCATTTGTTTCCTGCATTGATTTCCCCCTCCGGAGTATTTACGAGATGAAACGATATTCCATGTGTGACGTGTCACCTTGAAAAGATTTTGCAGCGTTTCTTAAGCCCGGGCACACTCACACGTATTCCCTGGCATTTTGCTCCACCACTGTAAGCCCTCGTTCAGGTTTGCAACATCTCCCAGCATCCCATGCTTAGTCCCACACAGTCTAGGGAGCGCTGTCCCAGAGGAACGCAATAGCCTCATGCTCCAATCTCTGAAACTTGGCTTTTTACCTTAAACCACTGAAGACACTTGCCAAAGGCCGGAGCAGGAGCTGGTGCTGGCATTTTGCAGCTCAGAGAGACGTCCAGACCCTGCAAAGGATTTCAGGAAGGCTCCCCTTGATGTCAGTGAGAGCTAGCCACCGAAAGAAATGTCAAATGTCTGCTTGTGCTGAGGTACCAAGCCTGAGACTTCTTTCTTTTTTTCCCGGTAAAAAAATTAGGAACCAGCAAGAGAATAATAAGAGAAATGGAGAGCAGTTTCTCCCACCCACCTACCAGTCACAGGTGGCAGTGCTTTTACAAAATAGGACAGATGGGTTTAAGGAGTCCCATGACTAACAACAAGTAGAGTTTCACGCACTGTGCCCAAGAAGGTATATCTGTGGGATAACCTAGGCAGCATTTGACTTCAAGAAGGAGTTTGCCCTAGTAAAAAAAATACTTTGAATAAGGTCAGGTATTTCAAATTCTGAAATACAGGTACAGGGAGGCTTGCCTCTTTTTAATGAGAGGACTGTACTGTGCAGTGCAAATGGTATCTCTCAGAAAGATCAATGTTTGCTAATTAAACACTACATTATGA